TTTAAACCCCACAACTGACCAAAAAAAAAAAAAAAACTACAGAATAAATATTTCAAACTGATCTATCTCTAAAGTTAAAAACAAAAACATGTCTCATGTTATCCCAAGCATTTTCAGTGAAGCAATGGTCACGGAACCATTGATTTGAAAAGATGAAAGGTGATCTATCTCTAGCATTGCTGATGACACTTCCAGATGATTAGATCAGAGCACAGGTGTGCCTTGATCCTCTAGAACAGTAAGGCTCTTGAGGAACAGTAGGTAGTTGAAAAAAACCTTGAGTGCCACCTGCTACTCCTTGAAGACTGCAGATAAGGGCATTTGTCGCTTCCTCCTTTTTTTGCCTGGGGCATTGAATGGCTTTTGTAATCTTTCCTAGTTCAGTCTCCCACTCAAAGCTCAGCAGTCTTCATCCTCCATTGAAAGAACTACTACTGTATGCCAGCACTGGACTAAGCCCTGGACCAAGGCAAAACCATCTATTATGCTACGCTAATCCTTTGGATAATATGAACATCCTATAGTATTATTATTCTTACCATTCTTATTACTAATGATGTGGACGTCATGGGGCCTCACACGTAGTATAGGCACACTGAGACCCCTTTCTGTCATGAAGAAGATTGTCCCCAGATCCTTCCCTGGTCAACTAAACTAGTGTCATAATTATTAGGTGGTGAAGGTGTGAAATCTCAAAAGGGAAAATGACCCATTTTTGCCATGGGAAGTTGAGAAAAGCATCTGAGAACAAGTGACATGTCAGGTGGAATTCCAAGAGTGAAACTGGGTAGCTGGTAGGACAGGAAGACCATGAAGGAAAGTACGTGCAAGACCAGAGGCCTCAAAAGGCCTTTAGGAACTTCAAGGAGCAGTAGCACTGGATGCTACTTAGCTATAGGTAGTAGACGGATGCCAAAATCTAGTCTCTTCATGCCCAAGCTGGTAGCCTCTTTACAACCTACTCTTAGGACTATTTCTTTGGGGATACAGTCTTTTTGAGGCAAAAAAAAAAAGAATTAGCCAAACAACTGCTCATGTAGTTTCAAATTTTAACTTTAATTTTCCCAACCACAATGTCTCCTAGTAGAGCTAAACATTACAGCAATATTTCAGTCTCTTCAATCTCAGCAACAGCTTCTACATCTCACGGTTACTCATTACAGCATCTTTTCATTTGTATGTTTTTGCCTTCTGTCAAATGAATTATGTAGAAAATATTCCCGGCAGCATCACATGCTGATTTCTACCACACTCACTCACATCCCCTTTCACTAGGCTCTCCCTTAAAGCATCTTCCTCTTTCATTCATGTCAAGGTTTTCAGATTATTTTTAATTCTGCATGTGAAAGAAGACTTTCAATATTTGTCTTTGTGACTCTTGATAATTTCACTTAGCATCTGATTGCCAGTCCCATCCACATTCCTGCAAATAACATAAATTCATTCTTCACAGCTGAATGATACTCTACCGTGAAGATATAGGTATATGTCTTTGCTCATTCATCTACTATTAGGCACCTAGGCTGATTCCATGGTGTACAGGTGTCTTCATTGACTTAGGTTCTTTTGTGTATGGGCCAAAGAGTAGTATAATTGGCTCACATGGTAATTTTATAATGAAGTTTTGGATGAACTTCTACTTTGATTTCCATAATGGCTCTAGTAGCTTATATTCTCACCAATAGTGAGAATTCTCATCTGCATCATTGCCAGAATTTTCTCCTTGATGGTTGCCATTCAAACTGGAGTAAGGTGAAATTTCAGTGTTGTCTTGATTTTCATTTCCTTTCCATCTGTGGACATTGAACTTTTTTCATGTATTTGTTGGCCATTAGTTCTTCATCTGAGAACTCTCTGTTCTTATCCACTAATTAATTGGACTATTAATTCTTTCGGTGTTTAGTTTTTTAGCTCTTTTTATATCCTCAATGTTAATTCTTTTTCAGATTAAAAAACTGGCAAAGGTCTATTTGTGAAATTTTTTTCTGGTGTTGGGGCTAGAACTCTGGACCAGGGCACTGTCTCTGAGCTCTTTTTCTCAAGGCTAGCACTCTATCACTTTGAGCCAAGCACCACTTTTAAGTAGTTAATTAGAGATAAGAGTATTATGGTGACTTTCCTGCCCAGGCTGGCTTTGAACCACAATCCTTAGATCTCACCCTCCTTAGTAATTAGGATTGCTGACATGAACAACTGGCACCTGGCTATTTGTGATATCTTTAAGCTTTGTTTTTCTTTCCCAGCAAGAAATATCACCTGCATTAAGGTCCTAAGATTGGATGAGATACTCTAAATAACAGGCCTGGTACAATATCTAGTACATCTCAGAGTTAAATTTTACTAGTAGCTGTGGAAGTCATCAAATCAATCTGTTTGTACTTACATTGGGCAACGTCTGAGAGGCTTGTAATTTAATTAATTACATGTCATTTTGTGTAGGTACCTTGGATAAGCATAAGGAGTTGGAAGCACTTGTGACAAAGTTTCTTAATGTAGAAGCAGCAATGGTCTTTGGGATGGGATTTGCAACTAATGCAACAAATATCCCTGCACTAGTTGGAAAGGTGAGCATTTTTCACATTAATGTCTTTTATTGTATTATTCCTATGAATTACAACTTTGAGTAGGTCTTCTCTGAGCAAGCAAAAAAAAAAAGATGTAATCAGTTACCATCCCAAGGAGCTAACTACTGTCTATGATTTTATCCATAGATTTACCAGCTCAATCTCATGGCCTTTTAAATTTTAAAGAGTTTTTAAGAAGAAACTGCATTCAAAGTTTTCAGAGTAGTTTCTCCTCATTCCCACACATTGTCTTTCTTTTTTTATTTTATTTTATTGTAAAGATGCTGTACAGAGAGGTGACAATTACATGAGTAAGACAATGAGTCATTACTTGCCGATCATTGCTACTTCTTCCCTTGTCGTTGTCCCACTATCCCTTTCCTCCCCACCCCACATCCCTCCTTACCCTCACCCTAACCCCCTACCCAAAGTTGTAAAGTTTGTTTCCAATATACTGTCCTGTGGGTATTGCTGTTGCAATGGGTCATCCTGTGTCCTTGTTTCAGCATTTAGTTATTCTCCTTCCCCTCCCCAGATTAGACAAATGTATATACAAGATGCAGCGTACCAAAATCAAGTACAGTGACAACAGGGGATATTCCATAGGAGGAAGAACATACAAAGGAAACAACAAAAACAAAATCACATTGTCTTTCTTTCATGTCATTCACTGGCCTGGTTCTGTGTATTTGTTTCCTTCACAGGGGTGTCTCATTTTAAGTGACGAATTAAACCATTCTTCTATGATCATGGGATCTCGGATCTCAGGAGCAACCATAAGATGTTTCAAACACGACAGTAAGTATCATTGTGTTTTTCCAACACAGATTGGCTTGCTCCTAGAAGAAAGGAAAGATCATGGAGGACGTTTACATTCTTGCTCTTCCAACTGGCAACTTATCCTCATGAAACACAGTTACATTTATGTTCCCTGCTGGCTTGTTAACCTGTAGTGACCTGGAACTAGTGGCTGAGGTGTACTAAAGCTCCAGATCACGAACTGTCACCAAACACGTTAAGCCCAGTGTGTGTTTTAATGAGGACGCTTCAGGAGACAGAAGTGATTCACTCTGAACTGTCACTTAATTATCAGAAGTGCTATTACTCTCCCCTTCCTTATAACTCTACCTTGGGAAAGTTCAAAGATGTGTTTAAGTTTTGTATTCTGGGCAGGGGAATAATTCCCTTGTTTCATAGTATCACACCTCCTTTCTCCAATCTTATCAACAGAACACCTTCCCAAATCACCTATTTCAATTGCATTAAGATAGACTGAGGGGTATGCAGAAATTGTGAGGAAGATAAAGAAGGCCTTTTCTCCCTGAGGAAACACTTCAAAAGAAATAGGTGATGGTGAGCAACAGCACTCAGCTCTGCCCTAGATATTATACTCTGTGTAATTTATTTAGTTCAAGTAACTCAATCATGGATTAAAGTGAAAATGGTCATGATGACATCAGACAGTGGTAAAAAAAACAATAGGACACTAGGCTCTGGCCATAGCATCTTTGCATACCCACAAGAAGAGCTGCAATAAAGACAGCAATGCCAAATGTTAGTTAGGATAAAAGCAACTAGAATGTTCGCCCATTGCTGGGGCTGTGGAAAAGGATAGAATGTTTTTAGAATGTTCTTTGACAGCCTTATAAAGTTAAGCATGTTCCTGTCTTAGGACCTAGATATTATACAACAAGTATTGCCACAGGAAAAATGAAGGCAGAGACTTACATAAGAATGTTGGGACATATTTTATTATTTTTATAAGTTTTTTATTGTAAAAAATACTGTACAGAGAGGCTACAGTTAAATGATCTAGGTAATGAGTACATTTCCTATCAAGCATTGTTACCTCCTCCTTTTTTTTCCCCTACCATCCCTTCCCTCCCACCTCCACAGCTACACTCTCCCCACCTTCCCTCCCCCCACCTAAATTGTAAAGTTTGTTTTTCAACACAGTATCTTGTACATCTCACTGTTACAATGGGTCAACCTGTATCCCTATTTAAACATTTTGGTTTCTTCCCTTCTCCTCCCCAAATTAGAGGAGTGTATATACAAGATGCAGGGCACTGACATCAAATACAGTGAAAACAGAGGTTATACTGTGGGGGAGGAATATACAAAGCAACAAAATTCACATGGTACATTATAAATACATTAGAAACCATAGCAAGAAAGAAAAATACACTTGTGTCCCATGGTTTCCCTTATTTGCAATAACTAGTATATGTCTGGGACAAGCAGAAAAGGTCAAAAGCTATGTACATTTGACCAAATAAGATGATGTTAAGCAAAATGAACCTCAAGATAGGGACACAAGTGGTTTTCCTTTCTTGCTATTTTATTATTAATAAGCAAATATCCAGAAACAACTTGAATATCTAGAAAAACACATGGAATGTCACTGCACAATAGCAAAGAAACAAGCTAGAGTATATAACATGAGTGTCTCGCAAGGAGAACAATTTTGAAAGGAGTAAACCAGGCATGAAAAAGTAAACCAGGCATGGATGAGTAGAACTCCATTGTGTATATATACCACATTTTCTTGTTCCATTTGTCCAATGAAGGGCATCTGTGCTATTTCCATACCTTGACTATGGTGAATAGTGCTGCAATAAACATGGTTGTGCTGATGGTTTTACCATATCCTGGTTTGTAATCTTTTGGATAAATGCTGGAGTGATATTGCTGTATCATAGGGTTTATCTACATTAAGTTTTATAAGAAATTGCCAAACTGCGTTTCAGAGTGATTGAACAAGTTTATATTCCCACTAACCCTAATACATGTATTAGGGTTCCTTTTACCCCATATCCATGCCAGCATCTGTTAGTGTTTGTATTCCTGATGATGGCCATTCTAGCCAGGATGAGGTGGAATCTCAGTGTTGCTCTAATTTGCATTCCCTTTATGGCCAGAGATGTTGTTGAAGATTTCATGTATCTATTGGCCATTATTACTTCTTCTAAGAAGTCTCTAGGTCATGTGCTCATTTATTAATGTGGTTGTTGATTCTTTGAGAGTTTTGTTAAATTCTTATTGAAATTCACTGAGTTAAAATAAAAGTTTAAGATGCTTAAAACTTTAAATACAGTTGTTTTTTAATATCACAGTTTTTGGAGGTGAGGCTCCATGCAAAAACTCCTGGAGTTCAAAAACTCCTGAGTTCAAATCCCAGGACCACCAAAGAGCATAGAAAAACAACAACCACAAACATTTAGTTGCTTTAAAGATAAAAATAGAGACACAAATTTGAAAAAAGTTAAAGCTTCAGGGAGCCATAGGAGGGAATCCATACTTTAAAAATTGTTAAGAGTATTTACTACCAAAGCAGTGTTCTTCTAGTCTTTTTGTATTAAGATTTATGTTTTTAAGCCAGGCACTATGGTGCCTCATACGTGTAATCCTAGTTACTCAAGAGGCTGAGATCTGACAATCATCGTTCAAAGCCCCCCCTGGCAGAAAAGTCTGTGAGACTCTTGTGTCCGATTAACCACCAAAAAGCCAGAAGTGGAGTTGTCGTTCAGGTGATAGATTGCTAGCCTTGAATGGAAAAGAAGAGGGAGTACAGATAATGGTTAGTGAGGAAAGATCTCACCAATATTTTGGTCCTCAGAAGTCCAGTTGCCCAACAACAGTTTCATCACTGCAGTAAAAACAGAGCAAAAGTAAACATCCAGTTCTTATCTTAAAGAAAACATACTTCGAGCTGCACCTAATCCATCCTTCCCAGAAGATTCTTCCTCACTTGCATCTTCATGCTCTCTTTCCTAAGATACTATCTCCAGCTGTCCCAGATCTGGGAACCTGGGCATTAACTTTAAGGACAGATACGTGCTCACAGTTACCAAAAGTATTTGTCACTTGAGCCTGATGGAGTTTTCAACATACAGTCAGCTTACTCCAGTTATTTAGTAATAAAGTAATCCAGATGACAATGCCTACAAAAGACTAGGACTGCTTTATACCTGCCCCTAAGAATGTGGACCCCAAAATTTCTTTCTTAATAACTACATATCCCAAAGCACCATGCCAGCTCCAGCCTCCAAGTCCTCCACAAAGCAAAGGAATGTACTGGATGAGTCAGGCTTTGTGGCAAAACAACATCTAAGACACTGCTGATGCTCAAAGTTAGACTGATTACAATCACAGTCCACCATTGCAGATCTATGGCAACATGTATAATAACACTGCAGGCTTTGGTGGTATCCAAAATAATTGTTATGTTTCAATTCCCATAATCTCAGTTTTCTTAAGGAACAAGAAGGGGTTTGTTTGAGGACTTTAGTCTTTGGGATTAGGGGATTTGTTTTTCGGTATTGTCTTGTTTTAAACAAACTTGGCTTTAGTTTGCTTACTCAGGAAAAAAAAAAACAACAACTTAAAAAAAAAACCTAATAATGCTGGGAAGGTGGTTCAGTGATAGAGTGCTTGTCTTGCATGCATGAGGCCCTAGGTTCGATTCTTCAGCATCACATAAGCAGAAAAAGCTGGAAGTGGTGCTATGGCTCAAGTGGTAGACCTCTAGTCTTGAGCTGAAGAGCTCTGAGGGACAGTGCCCAGGCCCAGAGTTCAGGCCCCATGACGACAACAACAACAACAACAAAAAGAAAATACCCTAATAGTTCTTTACCATTTCTCAAAGGTATTGTGAGGATTCACATAATACAAGTACAAGTATTTTAATGAGCATCGTTACTTAAAAATCCTGTGCAGGCCGGGCGCTGGTGGCTCACGCCTGTAATCCTAGCTACTCAGGAGGCTGAGATCTGAGGATCACGGTTCAAAGCCAGCCCGGGCAAGAGAGACCGTGAGA